GCGTTGTAAGGGTCTCTGTGCTAGAACAGAGGACGTCAAGAACTGTGATAAATAAAAAGGCAAAATAAATTAAAAGTACGGCTCTTGGCTTTTGTTTAACGGGTTCTTTTGTTGGACGGCTACCTCTTGCTTCAGCTTTTGCAGGTGTTCCTCTAAATCCTTCCGTTCATCCTGCTGATCCAGCATTTCTTCCACCTTCTCTTCTCTAGAGGGGGGAAAACAAGCAGAGTTTCATTTATTAATTAATTGAGTTCCATTCCTACTAGGAGAGTTTTCAGATATATATTTTTCAACTGCTCAAGATGACTAGCCAAAAGATTTTCAGATGATCAGCCGACAAGAGCAAACAAAATAATTAAAGTCTCTGGCCCTTAAAAAAGATGTTCTGGACAAGAGATTAAAAAAAAAATCTAAGAAAAAAATCAGAGAGAATTAAAAGAATATAATAATGGGGACGACTAAGCACAGCTGTCGGCCTAGAAGACCTTCTACAAGGTGTTAAACATGAAACAGAGATGGAAAAAGTTAATATTTGGGCTACTGTGCTGAGCAGTGTATTATGGGAGTTGTAGTCCCCAAAAAGAATGTTTCCCATTACAAGCAAAGAATTTCATATGCTAGCCATGGTGTCCATAGAGAAAATTCTTCTTACATCTTCTGACTTAGGTTTCCTGAGCAAATTCTCTCTCCTGCTCAACTACATCAGGGCTCCGCGGAGAGGGGAAAAGCTTGTGTTCGAAATTCCTGGCTTGTTGTTCCAGATTTAAATCCACGGTTTGAATTCAGCCACTAGATTTGTTGGAGTTTTATTTGCAACCTCACATGCTATCTGTAGTTTACGTGATGGGTAGGAATTTTCTAGTCTGGGGTGACTGATTCAGCATTAACCAGTAATTTCTTTCCCTTTTTCTTCAGTTGGTGGCAGTTTGTTATTTGCTGTTGATCTGTTAGGTTGGTTGCTAAGTATGTGTGCAGTAAAGAAAGCAACATATGCAAGTCTGTAGTTTCAAGCAACTGTAAGTAAAGAATTATTTTGGTACATGATTTCTCTTACCCTACAAATGCCTCAGATTGAGTTATTGAGACTTTTAAGTGTGAGTTAGTGAAAAAGAGGTGAACTCTGGGGACACGTAATTACGCTCTTCTGTGGGTCTCTATACTTCTACTGTATAGCAAAAGGGAATTTTACATAATTTTCAAAATTCTGCAACAAGATTTAGGCTTGTTAGAGGAGCCATAAAACCAGGATCTGATTTAGGATGTATTTAGTATGTTCCTATTTCTAGGAAACACCGAACAGGAACAACTGTAGCTTACTTTTTAAATTATTTATTTATTTATTTATTTATTTATTTATTTATTGATTAATTGATTGATTGATTGATTGATTGATTGATTGATTGATTGATTGATTTTGCAAATGCCCTTGTAAACCAGCTGGAGTGTAATGGGGGAGAAGATTAAACACCATGGCCCATTCTGACAACTTTAACAACGAAGTATTCTTCATGCTACATGCAGATGTGACTGCAGTGGTACCACCTGATTCATCAAAGCAACTGCTTTTTTGGGGAAAAAAGTTCTAGAGCAGTGGTCCCCAGCCTTGACCCTCCAGATGTTCTTGGACTACAGCTCCCAGAAGCCTTCACCAGAACCTCTGCTGGCCAGGATTTCTGGGAGTTGAAGTCCAAGAACATCTGGAGGGCCGAGGTTGGGGACCACTGTTCTAGAGGACTTACACCATACACACTGCATTTGGGGGAGATGTTTATGGGAGATAAAAGTGTATATTTACACAGTTATGGCCAGTTGGTACCACGTTAAACGGCCATGGCTCTGTCCAACACAAATCCTGGGGCTTATCTGCACAAGGAATGAGTACACACAGCAGTCTAGAATCAACTAAGAATTCCACAGTGCTATCTCAGTAACCCAACTGCTCTAACTGTATAGTGTAGACACACACACAAAGAACAATCCTGTAGGCTTGATTTCCAAAGGGCCAGTGAGTCCCAAATCTCCATCCGGTTTCAGGACCCTCACCCCCTTCTGAAGGGGCTCCCCTCCCACCCTCCACCCTAACTCACAGCTCCTGCCGCAGACGCCGCACCTCGGCCCAAGCCTCGGCCAGCTGCACCCCCAGATGTTGCCAGTGGTTCTCCGGCAGAGGAGCAGGCTGCGTCTTCTGTTCCTGTTGGAGCTCCCACAATTTCTGGGGCAAGAGAGAATGTGAAGGATGATTAAATCTGGAGGATACCAAAGACGGAGATAGTATTGGGACGGCAAGCAGTTAGAGTGAGTGGATTTGGTTTCTTTAGAAAATATTTGTAAAAATACAGTTTGTTTTAATCTTGCAGACGAGCTAAATAGCTCTGTGGTTTAGGTACCCGGGTTTGGAGCCAGAGGATGGGAGTTCGAATCCCCCCACCTGTGCCTCCAAGAGAAGAGCCAGCCTGGGTGGCCTTGGGCAAGCTGAGCAGTCCCACAGCGCCCCTAGTGGAAAGGAAGGGTAAAGAACTTCTGGAAGTTGTCTGGAACATCCTCAAAAAGGGTGGTTGTAAGTCAGAATTGATTTGATGCACACAATGATGATTAATCTTGTAAGCTGCCTTGGGTCTTCTTGAGGAGAAAGACGG